AGGAAATTAAGGTTACCAGCAGCTTAAAGGGCAAAAAGTATTAAGTTAGAATTAAATTAAGCAAAAAAATAAAAATAAATAAATAAAAATACAAAAAATACAGATTAAGTACAGTGTATGTAATATTTCTTTGTTTGTTGTAAGTAGTCAGAATAGAAACATCACACTTTAACCCTTTAAAGCCTGATCCATGAATAAAACAAAACAGAAAATTACTTTTTTTTGGTTTGAATTGCTTATTTGGCCTTTTAACTAAATATGTAAAAAGAAAAAACTGAAATACATTTTTGATATTAATAATTTATTACTATGTGATAAGTCAAGATTATTTTTTGTGTAGTCTTCTGCCCCCTGTTATCAGGTGTATCTGATTGTGTACAATAGGATTTTGAGCAAAGTTTTTAACATTAAATTATGCAAAAGGAGTCAGTATGAATCAAATATGATACATTTGGCATTATAGGGTTAAATCCGAATTAGTCATAAAGAGACAATTAGAGAAATTGAACCAAAAGAAAGCTCTGGGATTTCTCCCTGATCCAATCCTGAGATTGCATGAGGGGACTGTAGGAAGAAAAACCCTCCTTCAGAACCAGAACTACCATTAGGAGTCATAATAAGTCTAAACAAGTCTTAATAAGTCCTAATAAGTCCAAATAAGTCCAAATATATCTAAATAAGTCCAAATAGGTCTTAATAAGTCATAATAAGTTGAAAAAAATCATAATAGGTTTTAATAAGTCCTATGAGTCCTAATAAGTCCAAATAAATCTGAATAAGTCCAAATAGGTCTTAATAAGTCATAATAAGTCTAAATAAATCATAATAGGTCTTAATAAGTCATAATAAGTCTAAATAAATCTAAATAAGTCCAAATAGGTCTTGATAAGTCACAATATGTCTGAATAGGTCTGAATAAGTCTGAATAAGTCTGAATAAAATAAATTCTAAAAAGTCCAAATAAGTCTAAATAAATCTAAATAAGTCCAAATAGGTCTTGATAAGTCACAATTAAGTCTAAATAAGTCTGAATTAAATTCATTCTAATGAGTCATAATAAATCTAAATAAGTCTAAATAGGTCTTGATAAGTCATAATAAGTCTAAATAAATCTAAATAAATCAAAATAAACCAAAATAGGTTGTAGTAAGTAATAATAGGTCATAATAAGTTATAATAGGTCATAATAAGTAAAAATAGGTCATAATAAGTCATAGTAAGTCCAAATAGGTCCCAGTAAGTCCAAATGAGTCCAAACAGGTCTTAATAAGTCATAGTAAGTCTAAATAAGTCCAAACAGGTCCTAATAGGTCCTAATAAGTCT